ATATATAATTATTAAAATGCGTATTATAATCAAAAATTCTATAAAACACATTAGCTACAAAAGACATAAAATAAACGCAATGATCATCAGACTTTTCCGAATTTGATGCCAGTACCTGGAGAGATGTTCTCATTTCGTGAAGGCAATAGACACACGGTTGAAAGAAATAAAATTGGCGAGGACTGCCATAGAGGAAGCATCAGAGTCCATGTTGGTAGATCTAAAAGATAGAAAGAAGGATAAACGGCCAATAAACGATCGCGATAAACGAAAGACGCAGGAGAAATTAAAAGATCCTCGAGAGAAGAGTAGAATTATGTCAAAGAGAAAACTTAAGGATGAATTTCCCGAACTTCAGGAAGTTGAAGACAAATTCTTCGAGATTGTCAAGAAGGTATAATATTAAATTAATTTTCCAGAAATTTTGTTTTTTGTTTTCATAAATTTAATTTTGTAAGATCTATTATCAATAATTTTTAATACACTAAGAACTTTATATATACTATAATAATATTGATCCCCCTTCCCAAGTAATTAATTAAATATCTATTAAATCAATTGTTATTTGTAAACAATTTATTTACCGCCTTTTAATAAAAAAAAAATATTATTAACAAATAATTAATCAAATTTTTATTTACTGCTTTATTATTTCATCTATATCACATTTTTTTGCAATCCGCAGGAAAAACAGAAATATATAGAGGACGAAGATTCAGATTTGTCATCTGTAAAAATAACGCGATCCGTAAAAAAAATCACTAGTCGAAAAATCGACAAAAATTCGCATTTGACAACACACGAAGCAAAAGAGATCGAAACGAAAACGCCGCCTAAGAAAATATCTAAGGAAAATCGAGAAAAATATCCAAGAAAGACTGAGATTTCCGCGACGGAAACAGTACGAGACATTGAAGAAAAGAAAGTAATGGCAGAAGAAGTCTTGCCTGCGTTGGCGGAAGCGATCGTAGAATCTCCTATAAAGAAGATTAGTAAGCGAAAACGTAGAAAGAAGCTACGAAAGAAACGGCCGATGCATATCGCCTTCAGATTGCCGAGGCCATGCAAAATAGGCGTATGCAAACCCGACATTTGCTGCCGCAGGACTACGTTCGGAAAAATAAGAATTAGGTATGGAGCGTATTTTTAGAAATGTAAAAGTATTGAAAAAAACTTTTAACGTGCGCTAAAGTTCCATCGTGTTAATCGACTCATCTATCTCAGTTCCTTTTACAATTAATAGATTCTTTACTTTTATCTACAACTGAATTGCGTTTAATACATATGATGTCAGAATATTAATAACTTTCTGATAAGTATTGTATAAGGGCCTTTTATTAATTTCACATTTATTTAATAGTAATATTAAAAAATATTTTTTAATTATATTATATTTTCGTTGCACACACATTTTTATTCTTTGACAAAAAAACTAACACATTTCATATATTTAATGTTCGAGAGGCTGGTTGAAATCAACAAAACGTTAGTGGCTTTTGAGATTTCTTGACGTCGTCAAAAATTGGATGACTTCAACTTAAATTTCGATCCTATTATCGATTCTCTTTCAACTCTAAAATCCATGTGAAAAGCACATATTGAATCGCTAATGTTAGGCCCACAGATCGAGCAATCAAAGACCATGAGAAATGGGACAAAGTCAATGTCAGAGTGAGGACGTTGATAGAAAAAAAGGAAAAAATGAGACAGAAGAGCAGAAAGTCCTGGACGAAGCTGATGCGCGTTTATAAGCGCAAGGAGTTAACTAAAAAGTACGACAAAGAAAGAATTTCTCTTCAAGAGATGATGGCGACGCCCGAAGAACTAGCTGTCATAATGGAAGATGTGAAGAAAGCTAAAAGAGAGATCCAGGAAACCGGCAGAGCAAGGACAGCAAGGACAAAAATAAGAAAACCTGCCAAGGAAACTTGGAAAAGCCGGTTAGTTCTGGTGCTAAATTCGGAATTGAGTTTCAATCGATTTGACTACATAATTTTATTTACAAAATTCCTTTTCTTCATTGAATTATGAGAGCTTTTTTTTATCTCTTACTTTATTTTAAAAAATATTATTTTTTTATTTCATATATAAACCTAATCGATGAGATTCCGAATGTAAGAAAATAGTTTACACAAAACTATTTATTTCCATTATCTGTTAGTATACTAATATCGATTTGATGACAATTTCGGATCATAGTAGACTCAAGTCAATATATTTGCATGAGAATGAAACAGCTCGTCGAGATTTCAACAGTTTTTGTAATACATCGCGTGATTTTCTCATAGTTTCAAGAATATCCGCAGATCCAAATTTCTCCGATAATTTAACCACGATATTTTGCACAGCGCTGTGGTTGCAAAGAAATCTCGAGACACGTCAAGGAGATCGGAAAAGGGCGTGAGGGACAAGGAGGTCACGAGCATGCCAGAGAGTTTTCTCGCGGTGGAAAAAGCGAGAAAGGTACGTCGTGTGGCCGTCACGGTGGATCCTTGCGTTCCTTGGGAACCATCCTCGCTTGCGAAGGATCTGCAGATGTTCCTCGCAGGTCCTCTGCCGGAATCGACCGAGAAGAAGGAAAGACCGGGCATAGTTGACTCGAAGAAAATCGATATTTCTCGCAGTGGACTCTATCCACGGATTTCCGACTTCCATTCCACCGAGTGATGTTGCGTTATCCCTATAGCGTTTCTATCCTCTACTTAACATCAACGCCGCTTTCTTTAAGAAGCGTGACTATTTTTTTTTCTTTTTTTTTTAATATATAAAAGATACCAATATTATTGCATAATGAATAATATGTTCGCTTTTTTGTTTTTATTATAGTTTTCATTGATCTATTTTGTGATAAATGTACTCTGGGTAAAAATTGTAAATATCCAATCCAAATTACATACTTGATGTAATACAAATATTTAATATCAAATAATCGTATTTTTTGTTAAATATATAATAACGATACGGATTTATTGTTATACTAGTTTTAGCAATAAATATTTACGCGCGTATTAAACAATATTTTGTCGTCGTATTTGTATTATAATCCGGATTGAACTTCGTATTGTCTTCTTTTAAATAAATCACATCGTCGATAGAATGCCTCAATCTTCCGTGAATTCACGTGAGAAACCGACTTAATCCCATTCACCCAAGGCTACATGGTGATTCGTATTATCGTGAATCGAAAGGGAACGACGGGAAATCCTCCTGGGTATTTAGGGATCCGGGATGATAAATTCGCGACAGGAAGAGCTAACATTCGAAGCTCGATTCCGGTCCGCAGACCGGATAGCAGAGCAAGACGACATTTCCGGTAGGACACAACGTCCAGCTCGACTTCCGCCATCCCAACAAGATCCTATTCTCGTACACACATGCGCACGCACAACGAGAACTATGTATGCAAAAGCATTTTTCGCACGGCGAGAAGTTAGCGAATCGCGCTTCCTTCAATCGATAATGTTCTTATTGCGGAACTTTGGTGCGCTTTAACATAAGTTGAAATGAAAGTTTTCTCTCGCGCGCGATTTCAGTCCCGTCAAAGAGAAACCGGCGATTCGAAAAGAGATACTTATATACGCAAGCTGTGTACTTTTCGTTAATCCACGAGTTCTTTGACGCATTCAAAAGCGCGCGCTTTCTTAGCAAAAGTTTATATAGATAACATTGCCTCTCTTTCTTGAAACTTCTTTATTATACAACGAATCTTTTCACAATTTCTTATCATACTATCGTGTTCATAGAAATAAAGACTTCAACTCGAGAAATAGCTGACGTCTGGAAAAAAAATTTTTTTAAGTTTTATCAGTTAACTCGGACAAAAGTAATGCCCAGAAGATTCTCTGATATTCGCAGAAAAATGATTAATTCTATTTGGTAAGTTTTTACGTACTTTTCCGTGACTCATAGTGTATAACGAGCTGAACATGGTTGTAACTCGAATCATTTCTCAATATTTCCAAGAATTTAATTATAACTATGCGATATCATTTAATGACCATCACAAATATTATCATAACCGCTATATTATTATATTTCATATTAATTAAAATTATAAAATAGCCATTTAATTGCAAAATATAAATTAATTAATATTGAGCTTAAAGGTTCTTATTTAACTCAATTTTCTATTATAAACAAACTGTATCTTTCAGAGAGAGAAAGATAGAGAGAGAGAGAGAGAGAATGTTTACATTTTACGAGTATTTCACGATCTCTATATTGTATGTATAATACAATCCTCGGATAATGCAATAAATACATTACATTGTATTGTACATCGTATAAATTAAATTCGCGTAAAACGGAAATAATTTTCTCTCGAAAATTTCTTCGCGCAAATAATTGTTGCTTGGTATCATCGCAACTTATGCGAAGCTGGAATTTACAAATCAAAAATCTTCGGGAACTTAAGAGCGGCGCGAATAAGATGCAAGTTGATAGAAATATTTCAGGATGCTAGCGCGGCGAATGCCGCATATTGCAACGAATTATTCACGTTGCAATTTCCAAGGGAAATCCCTGTGGCACACAAGCAATGCCCGACGTGACGCCAATCGGACATCCCTATTTGTCGTCGAAGGGACAGAAATTCCGCAAAGGATGTCGCATAGAGAAGTCGCGAATAAGAATCGGTAGATGCGTGAACTTCGAGCCGCGAAACCCCTGGCGAAGTTCCAAGTCGTCTCACATGGATGGATTCAGCCGCTTCCTGCGACATAGTCTTATGCCGATAATGTCACAGTACACGATTATACAATATTATAAATATACATTCAGTTACATCAACGTTGCGCATCAACGGTTCGTTTAAAGAAGAGGCTCTAAAATAGAAGCAGAAAAATAACTATAATTATTTTGCGTGGCATTTTCGTGAAAAAAAAATAAAGATAATATTTTATTAATAATGGAAAAAAATAGCGAGGCGCTTTTCTCTAACTCTGAAATCGTTTTTTAAAAAGATCAATTGGTATATTATTATTCGCACTTTCAAATCTAAAGATTGTTAATGACAAATGCAATTATTAATATGTATGACACTTTTACACCCAATGCATACATACATTTGTACAATCATCACGTGGCATGATCGTAAATTATTGGGCATTTCGATTTAATAATACATTAATTAATCATGAGGTACGTTTCCGATACTATTACGATACTATTACATTCTAATTATCGAGATAATCGAGTTGCTTTAGCAGCATAATTTATATCGGGCATAAGATCATAAATTATATTTGAACCGACAGAATGAATAGCTCGATTTCATTATTCTGATAATTTTATTATCAATATGATATTAACACATGATATTAACACTAAAACTATAAAACCAAAATAATATTAAAATTTGAAGACACATGTAATTATGATTATGGTTAAATTTTAATTTGATTTTAATATATTCTTAGCAGATCGAATAAAAATTATGCACAAATTTCAAATATCTTGAAAAATATAGGTAATATTGTAGATTATATACGTAAGTGCGATTCCCACAAACGCAATTTAAATTGCAACTATAAAATTGTTACCTTGCAGAATTAATTTCTCGATAATGGCATTATTGCGACTCAATAAAATATTGCTCGTATTTTGGAATTCTTCGGTGGCTTATCAGTTTCCGATAATATGCACGAATGATCGTCTATAGGGGCTTTTTCATCCTCTAATTATTGCTCTCGGACGCGTGTAAAATTAAACACCCGCTACCGTGGTAGAATTTATCGAACCGCAATAAATAATGAGCGCGCCTAATGCCAGTAACAAATGTACACCCGTTAAATCAGCTTCTAGGATTAATTGGGAAATCGGCCGATGTAACTCGTGGGTATCGTTTTGGTCTGCGGCCAATGCAGGATAGGTAGAACGAAACAATCGATTATTTTAATATAGCAGCACTGTATGTGTTACCAACTCCGTCGGGATTTAAAACAATTGCATTGTAACTGGGTCTACCAGGTGTATGGATGAACCGACGAGCACGAGAGTGAACGAACAAGCAAGTAGATGTATTTTGTAAGAATGAAAATGTTTACATTGGAATAGATTAAAATAATAAATAAAAATAAATGTATGTGTAAATGAAATAATAAATTAATCTAATCCTGAAGAAATAAAAAATAATCTGTAATAAGACTTTAATAAGATCTATTAGAGAGTAATAAAAAACACTTGTTCTGAACAAGAGTATACACACACCTATATTCTAGTAATTATAATTATTTCTCGCGATCAATCTGTGATTTCCTCTTGAGAATTCAATACGGGAAATTAAAACATCTCAAAACTCTAATAAGAGAGAGAAAAAGAGTGCCCTCAAAAAATAGATGGATCACAAGAATATAATTAAAAGACAAAACAAAATAATATTTTAAGAATCACGATTTCAGATATTCTAAAAGTTGCAATCCAAAAAAATTTATGATTTTTTTAAGTCTAAAAATTTGAATTAAAAAAATCTAAACTCTCGAAAATGAGCAAAATATCAAATAAATATAATTAAGTAACAATTAAAGCTCAAAAACTCTAAGCATTAATTTTAAATACTTTAGTCTTATTATTATGTGTTATCTGATGTTATCTTGACTATTTTATTTCCGCTTAGTTTCATTAAAGAGAAACGGGGAGCGTATATAACATTAAGTAAAAGTCGGAGCTGGCTTTGTTAAAATTATCTGATTGCCAGCGGCAATAGCCTTTAATACATCAATGTCACTCAGCAATTAACCCGATTTAGCCACTGCTTTTGCTGGCTAACTTAAAACAGTGAAAATTTATTACACAGACGAAAGAGATACGAGTATCCCGATGACAGTAAGATATGAATATAATTGCATTGGAAGCAATTATCCATAAGAGTTCAAATTCAATAAATTTTATTCGCGTTCTACCAATTTACAATCACAAATAATAGATTAATCAAACTACTTTCTATCAACATTCGTTATAATTTATTTAAAAATAATATGTAGCAAAATTTTTTAATGAGAAGAACAAAGAAACTGTGTGAGAAACTAGCTTGAAAATATTTGCCAAGAGTTCTTGAATAAACATAAAACTGCAATTTTAATTTTCATATCTAATCAACATTTCGCACATAGAAAAGTGTTTCAAAAAGAGCGATATGCAGATAGTTTCCTTTACGTAGCATCGTACGAAAGCTCCAACGAGTGCCATAATCGATTTTAAATCGATGTCGAGCGTCATACTTGAACTTAACGACACAACGCTTCTTCCACG